GCTTCATGGTTTCATTCTCAACTGACTATCGAGTGAAGTGGAGGTTTTAAAATCAAAGATATAAGCATGTCTCACATGCCCAAATCATCGACCATAATTAAAAATACTGATAAAAATGTCACTTAAAAGCAAGTAAGCATCAGGATTAATATTAAATAAATTGATAATACTAAGAAACCAAATTAATACATTAGTACGCTAGCGTAAGGCTCAATAAGTCATCTAAGGTAGAGTTAAAAACATAATTTTGCCATATAGGCAAGCAAATTAAGCATCAGCTCTAACAAATCACAAGAAAAAAGAAAATTCGATTTATAAATTATATAGAAATTGCAATAAGATACAATCTCAGACTTGAGCGCGATCCTATCCGAATTGATATGGTTCCGAAAGGCCAAGATAATAAATAAATCCAATCTGTTTATGGACTTTAATTCAAAGACAACATTCATAGAAAGTTATCTTCTATCCAATAGACGCGACTCAATCCTTTCTAAGGCCCATTGGTGGTTGACCATTTCTAGTGCCTCCCATTCGGCCTTGAAGGCCTTCTGAGTGTCTTGAGGAGCCTGACTTGAAGGAGCAACTTGTTCTTGCATCAATCTGGATTGATCTGCGGCATTATCTGCACCAAGCACAAGACCATACATGCTTCTTAATCCAAAAATATTTAAAAAGTACCACGATGCTGAACTAACCCTGAAAAACGAAGAAATTGTTAATAAACAAAAGTACCAAGAGGCATCAAGGGAAGTAAGCGTTTCACATCCACGCTGTAACATTGGTTTAAAACGATAAGTCAGTGGGAATGGAATTTTCGTTGTAAGAAAACCAGTAAAAGCCCAATTGATCCACCCCCCTATAACTAACATTGGGATGACATTGAGTATATTGTTTTTGAGCATATCAGTAAGCATAGAAGGGTCTTGTATTCAAATAAAATTTAGAATAATTACCTGTAACGATATTTTTCATAGGAGTGTCTCTACGCGATGTTTTAAAGTATCCTTGGTCCTTGTCGTTAAAATAAAATTTTCGCATTTTAAACCCCTTTATAATATATTATTTTAAAAATTACCTGCTTTGATATATATCTTCCATTTTCCCTTAAAAGCCTACTTCGTAAAAGGGCGTGACAAAGAAAATAATACAATGTAAGAGAGTACCTTTCGCCAATTGTTTGCAGTTCACTCTTCTTTTCACTAGTTAGGAGAATAGTTAAATAATGTCTGATAACTCCGAATAAAAAAGTTATGATAACTAATGGCAGGAAGACCCAAAAACGGATGGCAGAATCCAATAAAAGCTCGGCCATATAGGGATAGTCAACACGGGCACATAATTTAGCCTTGAGGGTATTTGCTAAAGCGCTTTAAACAATAAAAAAAA